TTTAAAAATTTAGATTATTTAAATACATAATTTTCTAAGGAGGTTAAGACTTAAGTTGCAAGGAATGTTTAAGAACTTTGGCACTGAAGTATTTGTTTAAAATAATCGTAAATGCGTATTAAGATGATGTATGATTAGTTATATATCCAACTACAGCGTTGTACGAATCGTGCTGATTGGATTTAAATTTACAATCTTATCAGTATCCAGTAAGTTAGCCTGCACAATAAGACAAGTCTGAAATGAGATAATATTTATACTATTGTTAATGTGTTTGTGTGTAATATATATATACTAATGTCTATAACTTAAGGTTGTAAACTAGTCATTTGTCACTTTTATCTTGGGTAAATTGTTTTGTTTTTCTTATAAAAATGAGAAAGTAATTTTATAGCCTTGTGTGTTTATTTGAAATATTATAATCAAAACAGATAAGAACGTAAGGGAGGAAAATGTAGTTTAACTAATCTAACTATACGAATGTTGACGAAAATAGTTGACAAAAGTTAAATAAAAAAACAACTCAAAACAGATTGCAGTATTGTTTATTTCAACGTTTCGGACCGCGGGGGCATTATAATGTGACGTCAATCCCACTATTCGTTGGTAAAAGAGTGGCTCAAGAGTTGGCGGTGGGTGCTGATGAGTAGCTGCTTTCCCTCTAGTCTTTCACTGTTAAATTAGGGACGGCTAGCGCAGATAGCCCTCGTGTAGCTTTGCGCGAAATTCAAAACAGAAACAAAGAAACAATATTTCGAAATAAGCTATAAATAGGTTTAAAAAATTTCTTTACACATCCAAGTGGAATTACGTAATTCGCACACAAAGAAATTACATCAGACTGTTAGTCTATGGGCTCTAAAATCAAATAAAGTTTGTATTTCTAATTGGTTGGAAACTATAAAATTAAATTTCTCAAACCGAGAAATAAAGATTGTGAATGTATTAGATATTTATTTTTAAAATTAACAAATCACAACTTAGATAATATAAAACTTTGAATTATAACTATGATTTCATGGCACGTTTATTGGTATACATTGATGATAAAGTCGTCTAATGAAATTTTGGATGTAACACTACAAAAGGTCATGACATGCGTATTTTTACTCCTCTATCAACAGTCACTACCGGAACACCACTGATGACGAACTCTGTAGACAACGTTCAACCGCGTCAGTTTGAACTATGATCTAACAATGTATACAACAAACCTGAAATTAAAGAAATTTCTGATCTGTCTGAGAACGGATTAGAGGATTTGTTTGTTTGAAGTTAAGCACAAAGCTAAACAACGGGCTATCTGTGCTCTGCCCACCACGGATTAGAGGATTTGTTTGTTTGAAGTTAAGCACAAAGCTAAACAACGGGCTATCTGTGCTCTGCCCACCAGGGATTAGAGGATTTGTTTGTTTGAAGTTAAACACAAAGCTAAACAACGGGCTAGCTGTGCTCTACCCACCAGGGATTAGAGGATTTGTTTGTTTGAAGTTAAGCACAAAGCTACACAACGGGCTATCTGTGCTCTGCCCACCACGGATTAGAGGAAGACACTACTCAGAGTCAAGATGTACGAAAGGATAATTGAGGGGATAACCATTACTTTGTAATATGTTATGAATTTGTGAAATACATAAACGTTCTGTTTAAAAGATTTAAAGCAAGGTTATATTTGAAGGGGATCGGTATGAAACTGTCTAAACGTAAATGTTTTCTGACGATAAACAAATTGTATATTTTGTTTACTTGGATGTATAAAAGCAATTTAAAGGTTATGCCCTTAATTTCTTCCTCTCTATCATACTGACATTTTTAACAAATAAAACAGAATCTACAAAAAAAAGCGACACCTGTCCACTAATTACAATTCCTTTCATGAAAAAAATTGTAAACTTAGTCCCAAATTAAAAAAAAATATAATGAAGTTATATTACCCACAAATTATGTTACGCTTAGTATTTACGTCAACATTTAGAATTTAAAACATATTTAAAATCAAAGACACTCTACCCATTCGTAGACTCTCGTGGGTCGTATATAGATATACTTGTGGGAGCTATAAAGCTACCTATATTAGTAAAACTACAAACCACCTACAAATATGTGCATAGGAAAACATGGAGATCCCAGCTGGAAGCGGATATAAGCTAACTAATCCATCCGAGTCTTGTATCCGATTACACAGTAAAAATAACAACCACCCCATACTTCTAGAAAGCTTTATAAAATTTTCGACTCCGGAACCACAGATTACAAAGTCTTTATTATATAAAGTCTTTCCAATTTCGATGATCACCCAACACTAAATAATAACATCAACTCCTCCCTGTTGTAATTAATGTAATCAGTTCCAGATTCTCGGTGTTTTTATTTCAGTATTATTATTTTGTGTTTATAATTATATTTAAGCCTTTCATTATTATATTATTCTTTCTAAACTTACGATGTTTTATTCTGTCTCGATATCTGTGAGAGTAATGTTGTTCATATTGTTATGTAGAACGTTTCGGAACAGACGGAGAGGAATAATTAATGCTTGGTTCCGAATGTCGAATTAAAAAAAAAGTCTCCATTATCCGCAACGTTCTGCTAAGAAGAGAATACTGAAGTCGTTATCGTAAGGTGTCACGTTACACGTGCTGTTGTAGCGTGTGTACTATGATTTCCTTGTTCGGTTTCAATGTTATTTGATTCATGCCACTAGATGGCGTACCGAGGAATGATACAAACCTGTTTAGAACAGGTTCATATAAATTTCTAAACAACGTACTATAGCTATACACTGAGTGGTCACAAGTAAATAGACACCTAATTTGTCGT